ATTTATTTATTATTTTCATTCTAGTCCTTGGCTTTCGATGAACAATATATAATTTTTCATTTATTTTAACCTCGGAACAAAAAAAAAAGCAAAGAAGATCATGGAAGTAGGTTGAGCATAATCGTCCGAGCGAACGTAGTCCTGAATAGGACTGTTGTTGGCAGTCACTGACGTTTCGACAACCTGTATCAGTCAGTTGACGGTATTATACTCTGGTTATTGATCTGATTGGTCAATTAAGTTGCGATGTTTTTGGTTAGTCTTTCAGTTAGGCCGTGATGCTATTGGCTATGAAGACTCATAATGTCAATGATGCGTTTCGATCCGTTTATTGTCACGTATTGTTAGTCAAATTGCCGGTTATCCAGTAATTCTCTGGTAGTTAGTTTTCCTTGAGTTTGTCAGTTAGTCGTTTGTGCGATTCCGGTAACTGCTTATTGACGATTCAGTGGCGTTTGTTCTAAGTTAGTAAACCAGCTCAGATCAACGTTAACTCTGACCCTGGTACGACAGCGACTATACCGTACATCAGGGGCACCTCTGAAACCATTGCACGTATACCTTACAACATACGTGTTGCAGACAAACCGACAACCACTTTACGACGACTACTTGCTCATGTTAAGGACAAATGCAAACTGGAGGAAAGACCGCACGGTGCAGTATGCAAGATCAAATGCTGCAACTACCAGGCAATTTACATTAGTGAAACCGGCAGCAACCTTAGTACGCGACTGACTGAACACAAATGAGCGACAAAAAATGCTGCTGTCGACAATCACATTTCTGGACACCATCTACAGACGAAACATCAAATCGACTGGGACTCTGCGACATGTATTACGTATTCTACACACTGCTATCAACGACTCACTTTAGAAAGCTGGTTTACTAACTTAGAACCAACGCCACTGAATCGTAGTCAACAGTTACCAGCACCGTTCAAACGACTTACAGACGGACTCAAGAAAAACTAACCACTAGAAAACTACTGGATGACCGACAATTTGACTAACAATACGCGACTATTTAACTGTGACAATAGACGGATCAAAACGCACCAATGCCCCTCCCAGAATGCAAATCTTTGTCCAGAGAAGTTATTCCAATCGTTTTATCGCCAGCGCATATTTATACACAAGAAAAATTTGGGATTCAATGTGCGCGCAATTTTCCCCTTCTTCTTTAGGTTCAGCCTTTCGCTAGGCAACTTCTCAAAAACAAGCAAGGCGATCAATTCAAAGAACTTCGAGTCTTTCCTGGGAAGAGCTCACAGGAACATACCTTAGCTGAAATAGTTATTCACACCTCAGCTGCCTTACAGTGTTTGTGTCCAGGTTCACTATCTGAACCCCTTGCTACATTAATGATGGAACCACTAAAGTTGACGGTATGTGACCTATGTGTATAACAAAGGTCTCTTTTTTCCTCCTTGTTTAGGAAATCTTTTGTAAAAAGCTTTCTTTTGTTTTTTTTAGAAGATTGGAAACTGTTTTTTAACTTGTGGATTACGCGTAGCGTATGGAACAAGTTATTTGGGCACTGCGATATGCAAATGTGTCACTCTGATGTAGACACCTTTCGTAAATCAGTCGGGTCCGCACGAAAGCGCCCTATAACAAAACGATAGGTGTCGTAGATCTTTCCCGTTCCGCGATGTGCTGATTTTGTACATTTAACAGGAGTCACAGGACGATTGCCTTCATGTGGACTTTGAATGTTTCAAGTTAGCACCATGGCTAACTTTGAGACGGAAGTTTATGAACTTTTGAAGCTTTTTGACTCGTCCAGGCGATAAACATGACGAAAATATCAGCATTTGGGCACTGCGACAGTCCCAGACGCCCAAGATAAGCTGGTCCAAGCTCACGATTCTGCCTTGAGTCTCACGATTTTTTAACTTTTCGGCAAGACACGACTCCCAATCTCATGGTTTTTAGTGAAATATCATTCTGAAATGAAATGTTTCTTTGTTTAATAAAAACGGAAATGTTTACTGTTGCTGAATCGTAAGTGATTCTCCTCATGTAAACGCCGAGAATCGCAAGCTGCAAGAGAATTCGCGACCGTTTTGCGATACACTTGTCGGCCATATGTTCTTTGAACGCGACGAAATGAGTTAAAGTACGGCTTTAACTGTCAAAACCATGCTTGTTTTCGTCGAATATATCTTTCAATTCTTCATGAATAGAGCTGTACCGGCTTCAAACAGCGTCGACCGGCAGAATTTCATGGGCAAACGTGTTAAAGTTGATTAATTTAACAAGAGTCTTTAATAGACCTTTCCAGCATTCGTCACAAGCACACGCGCGAAAACATGAAAGTGAGGCTCGGGTGGACAAACATCAAACATGGTGGACAACATGCGCAAACTGCGAAATATATCCCGTGGTGTAAGTCTCTTAAAATCTTACTGGTGTTTACAAGGAAAGAGATAGACGATCACCGGAACAAGAGTGGCAAACGAAAATTGAAAAAAGTTCTGAAGCGCGGCTTGAAATTTCTAGAAGAACGTTATCTTTCATCAGACACAGACACAGACACAGTTCGTTTATGGTAAAAGCGGTGTCGTGCCGCATGAGTACTCGAGAAATTCACGAACTAGAGGTTTCACTCGATTTAACATCTGGGAATGTACTTGCAGCACACTGTACTTGCAGCACACTGTACTTGCAGAGCTGGTAACAGTGGATACTGTAATCATGTGATGAGTATTCTACTTGAGCTCGCTCGTTACTCTTGGAAGACTTAGACCGGGTACCTGAGGAAGCAGTATGTACAAGCGTGTCAAGGAAATGGGGTATTCTAGGTAAAGTATAAATTGATTTTGTCATTAATTAGACTAACCCTTCCCAATGAGCTTTCATTCCCCCCTCGGGCAGTTCAGCTGCAAATTGTTCAAATGTTCGGTTTTTGTATGCTAGCAAAGGAATTAAACTGATGATGGCATAGGTCATGCTGAAACATATCTTTTAAAAGTTGTATGATACGTCTGAAATTTTTGAATTGACTTAAATATGATACACAAAGTGATCAAACTTTTTTCTGTTGTTGTTCTAA